GTCTCTGTCAAAAGTTACTATTTTGTCACAATATTTCCCATATAGCATCAACAAAAGATGAGTTCGTTTTTTGGGATAATCACATGAACAACACAAGTTACTACTTAACAGGTTACTTCCTTTATTTATATTTACAGTATTTATGGAAAACATCAACTTAAAAGCAACAATTAATAATATAATGACTGTCTTCTATAAGCACAAAAACTACACAATGTAACTGCATTTTATTTTTTACACAGAAGTAGATATGTATTAAGTCTAATGTCAAGAATATCAGATATTTTTAAAATAATTTGTGTATATTAGCTTATTAAGCATTTTAAAATACCACAACTACTGCAGTATACACACTGAATTTTTGGATCTCCATGCCCTAAACTAAAAGACTTAAATTTCCTTCTTACCCTTTTTTATGGATAACCTAGGAAAGTTAAAAGTGATGTACAAAAATAGAAAATTAATGATTTTTAACTAATTTATGTCTACAAAACAAATATGAAATGATTAGTTGACAAAACCAAAATTGTCCCTGGTGGTTACTGTAGCAGCTGTGTAACATTCACGTAAAGATTTGTAACATTCATAAATAAGAATTTTATATTTTTTTTCTTTAAACAAAATCTTAAATCTTCTGTATAACAATGTACTTTTCCAATTGAAATGAAAATTCTTTCAAGTGGTTATGAAATAAATTGAACAATCACACACTTCTAGAAACATAATATATAATTACTAAGATTGTTGAGAAAATCAGAGGAACAGTGCTATTATACCACTTATAATAAAAATGGATATAAAACAGAGCTTGTAAACGAAATATTTTGCATGCTGACAGCTGTTGAAGCTAATGAATAAAGCTTGTCATAAAATACCAAATGTACCTTATTTGCAGTTAATATAAGGTCAAAATAAATTTCTAGTTGCAGTTAGAAGCCACCTAAAGCACTGAACCACTAAATTTTAACATAATCACAGCTACCTGAAAAAACCACTATAATTTTTTCCTGATCATCATGAGGTAACTTTACTTGTACTCTGAGAAGCAATTAATTTATAAACAATAAACTCTCCACTCTAATATAGGACCAAATATATACCTGATAATAATCACTTGACAGTCGGTCACAGTACGAATCAAACTAAGATAAATATCGAGATGCTAAAGTTTATCTTTGCGGCCTTGTTTCTGGTTACACAGAAGAATTAAGTTCTGAACAGCTGTGAGAGTAGATTGTTCATTTTGGCCAGTGATCAAGTGTCGATCAACAACCACATGAACTTCGTCTGGTTCACTTGCTGCAATCAGGTGGGATAGAAAAGGCAAGTTATATATTATATTATGTTGATTGAATTATTAATATCAAACAGCTCACTCGTATTCTAATCTAATCTTGTGTGTAAAATAATTACAGAGTATTTAAAATGTAAGAGAAAGATCCTACTTAAATCAAGGGAATACATATTTTGTTACTCCCAGTAAACAGCTCACAGCTTTTTGCTTACATTGCTAATGCATGTATATACTTTACTTAAAAATCTCATTAAAAGCTGAAGTTCAGAGACAAAAGATCTTACAATGTCAAGTCAATTAAATAAAGCAACTGTTACTCTTGCAGTATCATATATTTAACTAGACACTACAGTAAACAGTCAATATATGGAACTTCCGACTAGCAATACACTGCTTAACTTGTGTGTGATTAGTCAATATAAAGTATTTCTGATGAAATGATTTGTATAACATGACCCTTTTATAAGACATACAATCAACCAAGCAGGTTAGACACAATGTACTCACAACTGTACACTTAACCTAACAGATTAGATATAATGCACTTACAGCTGTAGAGTGCTCCTCTGTCTTTGATTATATCCTCTGGAATTACAGGTAAAGAAGCAAAATCTGGGTCTCTTGCCAGCTCAAAGACTGAGACCTGAAAATTCATGTACTATTTTGAAAAGAAACAAAACAAAGCTATAAAATTACAAAGTTATAACCTGTTGAATAGTTTCACATGGAATGCTCTTGCCTTCAGCACAAGGTCCAAAATGTCATATCCAAAACTAAACAGGAACAGTCCATAAGAAATTATTCAACATATCAACACACTGCCTAAAAGCTTCTTTAAAAGAAGATATTTATAACATCTAACAAAAGGTAAAAGCCAATAATTTGTGCTTTTAAAAATGTAAATAATAAAGTGATTTATAAGCATGCTCATAGTTTTTTCAATTGAGTAGGAATAGTGATGTAGAAGGTACGCTCCAAAGGAGACCAAAACCCCGAGGCCATGGAGTCATCCAGAGATGTGCTTCAACCCATATGAGGTACATTGGTGAAGAAGTGGAAATCTAGACAGAAGAACAGCAACGAGATGCTGACTATAGTATTGACATGACACAACACCAAAGACAAGTCCTATAGAAAGAAAAGTGACAGTGTTACAAGAGAGGACAGAGGATCACAAGAGATTTTTCATTGGTCATTCAAAGTCCATTGAAGAAGACTCATGTGAGCCCAGCTTAGAAAGACAAGAAGTTCTAGAGGCACAAAATTCCCCCAAAAAAGATAGAACCTCTCGTGTATGAAGTATAGGAGATGATGGAATGCGAGTTCCTGGTCTTTTTTGGGAGAATAAAACCCTGGAGAGGGCAAATGACCTTGTCAATGGCTCTCATGTCCAAAAAATCTGATACTATGGCCTCAAAACATTGAAGATACTGAGGATCTGAAGAAGGGGGAATGGGAAAAGAGGACAAAGGAGGAAAAAATGAGCAACGGAGAGAAAGGACATGTAATAATCTGAATGACCCACCAATCAGCTGCAAAAGGGGTCCAAAGGTAAAGAGACACCAATGGGATGTGTAATAGCCAACCCAATGGGAGGTGGGACAGCAAGAAGCAGTAGAGGAGCAAGAAATGGGAAAAGAGAGAGAGAGAGTTGAAATTGAGAACTGAGAGAATAGGTGTCAGTCAGCCTCAGCCCAATATCCAAGGTACTAGGACACCCCCTCTCCCTCGAAGACTTCAGAGTGAATAAAAGAAGCCAGATGGAGGTCACTCAGGTAAGAATGGAGAAGAAAAATGGTAGAAAGAAGAGCATCACATCCCAGAAGGTCCCAACAATAGAGGTATCAAGTAAGCAGGGCCAAGGCAGAAGACAAAACTGTGGCCAAGGTATTGAAAAGGAACGACCATAGATTCCCAGAAAAACTATCAGGATCATGGTGTAGGGCTTTAGATAGGAAGTGAAGATAGCATAGGACATGGGTAAGAAAAATGCAAAGACAGAAAAACTGAGCACTAGACAGGATAAAAGGGACTCCAGTTATTGAGATTCTAAAAATGGAAAAGAGTAACAGCCATAAGCCATGGCAAAGAAATCATGGAGTCAAAGAGGATGAGGAATTTAAAAATGGGATTAAAACTGATTCAGAAACATGTCAACATGGAATCATATATATGGAGGAGGAAAACAAATAATCCTCAGTATGAGGGTCATGTAGTGATGAACGGGAAGAATTAAAAGACATAAAAGAAAAGGAAAGTAAAGAATAAACCTGAATAATCCAATCTATAAAGAGATTTGGAGGAGGAACATAGTCCTCAACAAGTAAAGAGGCAAAGAAGGCATTTAGGAACCCACAACACAATGAACTATGGCAGTAATATTTTCAACAGTCAAGGAGCCTCCAGTGGCCACAAAGTAGAGGGTAGGGTAAGCAACATTGCTTGAACCTTGAGAGAAGGTGGTAGTCACCATCACTTGAAAACTCATGATTGTTGTGGTGATTCTTCACATCAAATTTTATTTTTTAAATAGTTATTTAGTGGTGATGTACTTATAAATCAAAGTTAAAACAAACTAAAAGAAAAACAAAAAAGGTTAACACTGACAAGGCAGTGCAAATCTCACGAAGTTGATTAAGTTTCAACTTAAACACATCCGTTAAAGACAGTTCGAAGGATAAGAATGAAGTTAATTTCAATTGCAAGCACTATTGAGGATCTACTGCATATGAAGGATGTATCACTCTATCAGTGGAGGGTTATTGTCACATGATGATTACATCATGCAATAGCACAGTTCATGTTATAACATGTCTTACTGGGAGATAGCTCAAGGCTAGTGGAATGCACAAAATTTCAAAGGCAGACATGCAAGGAATAGTTACTATGTACAGAGAGATAAGCCTATGATTTCAGAAATAAAGAATTTCTTACATTAAGTTACATGTGTACTGAAACATTTCACATTTCATTTTACTGAATTTTCTATCTTATATTATGCATGTCAAAATATTCTATATGTACAACAGCCAGTGTAATAACTAGATTACTTATGCTGAAAAAATTCATATGCATATACAGTTTTGTATGTTGTGAAAAATTAATCGACAACAGTTATGTATGTATAATTTAAATGTGCCAAAATAAATTATTAATACTGAAAGCTTATTTCAAGCATTTTTTCTTCACTTTGTTCCTAATATTCTGGGAAAATTTCAAGCTGATTTACTTTTGACGGGAGCCAGTAAAGCCCAGTATATCAACAGTTGAATTGAGTCATCAAATTAAACTCTCTCAAGCATTGAAAAAACAAATTATTAAAAAAACCATTATTTTGAAACACAAACAAAATAATGAAAAAATTATATATATATTACATGTTTTTAAAAGTACTTCAATGGAATAAAAATTAGAGCAAAATGATAAGGCATACATGAAATAAATAAACACTGGGTTTCATAACTTGTGCCAAAAGAAATGTTTACAGGCACAGTAAACTAGAGGTTTAATAAAATAAAAACGTATATACATCTTAAATTCCATAAGTTTATCTCTTACTGTATTCGTGTTGCTGAGTGTGTTTTCTACAATAAAGTAACGCAAGCTTATAATGAAGCCAGAACAACTGGCTGCATACTTTCATAATAAGCAGAGTAAGCTACAAGAAAAATCAGTCATTATATTAGAATTTATAGTCTGCAAGATTAACAACCATGAACTCTTTATTTAATTACAACAAGGCTGTAATAATACAGTGACATTTAATGAGATACTTATGAAGAAAATGTCTTAACCACAAAGTATATAGTACCACCATAAGCTACTTACTGAAGTAAGAGTATATCTTCTAAAACTCCACGAACTGCTATCTTCCATGGCAGGGAAAAGACCGACGACACCCATTCCTATTGCACATATTGGTTCTAGCAGAAAAAGGAAATACAAATAAAAAACATACCACCAAAAATATATTACATTCAAAGTCAAAATTGTTATGTTTGCCAAATCTCTGAAATACAATATAAAAACAAAAACTGACCACGAGTTGCATATGTTGCTACTCTGAATGAAATGTTTCGGAGGAGATGTCTCATGAATAACATTTTTGAATGAATCTTTCCCTTAGCATTACATCATTATTATTTAGTAGTTATGAGTTATTACATTTCATTATCATTAACTAGTTAAGTGTTACTGTATTATTATTATTAACTAGCTAAATGTTACTGCATTATTATTATTAAGTAGCTTAAGAGTATGAAATCACATGAATAGTTTTATGCATACATGAATTAGTTCCACTCCTAATTAAAAAGTGTTTGTCGTCAAGTTTGAAACTGAAAATAAATAAATATTATTTTGCTGTGAGCTACAGGTCTGGTCTGAACAGTAGTTTCAGTGGACAATTTATACAAATTGCATAGCAATATACTGAAATGACCATTTTGTAAATAGGAATTCCTGGTATATTGTATAAAATAAAATGTTCCTTACATACCACTTACTAAAGCTAGAGAAACCACCCATTTATTATTTATAAACTTATCAGTCTGAAACTTCACAACAAAGAACAGAATGAGAGTTTATGACATACATGCTTTCAGGTAGAATAATTTCTAGAAGTTATCAACTTTTTAAACACGAGTCAAAGTTATTATTTTCCTATAATGAAAATATATTTCCAATATGTACTTACCTCCTCTCACATGTATAGCAAAATTGTTTTCGCAAGCCACAAGCCTTAAATTCCAACGATGAATGTAGTTCAATTGTGTCTCACATGTAAATCATCATTATGCGACAATTCTCTACCAACAGGAGAGTAACACACCCTCCTGATGCATGTGACACACTCTATTTGATTCCACCAAACTATCACTTCAACATTAGGCAGAATAGAAAAGTACCAATTTTCAGTGCGGAGGAAGGGTGGAAAAAAACTAACTGTAGCAAATTAATAAGTCAATTAAATAACTACTTCATGAATAAAATTAAATCAAAATGTGAAAAAAACCTGCTCTTGGTCACTGCCTAATGAGAAGTGATAGTTCAGTAGAATCGAACAGAGGGAGTCACATGCGTCAGGAGGGTGTGTCACATTTCTATTGGTGGAGGGTTGCAACATGATGATTTATATGTGAGACACTCACAGAGAAGGGAGAGAACATTGGATAGTAAAAAGAGGACTAAGAACAGGAGAGGGGCAACCCCACAACACTATAAAGGATGAGGAACCTAGTGGAGCCCCTGATGCAAAAAAGGCAAGAAATCTAAGTGAACAATGATGACTGCTGAGAAGCTGAATCAGCTCAAAATTATAAATTATAAACAAACTCCCAAAAAAATCTCATTACAAAGAAAGGGTGCTTCACACATATCCCTAAGAGAGGATTAACACTCTCAATATGGGCTCAGTCAGTTTGACTGACCATGTGACTTTTTTGTACTTGTTTAAAGTTATTATAGATTTAACACTTATAACTCTCAATATAGTGGGTATATCTTCACGAAATTTGGCAGTCTTTCAGTTAATATTAAAAGTCTTTCACATACAAAAGTCATATTTCTTAGTGAAGTATTTTTGATAAAATAAAGATTTGTCCATGAATATATTGAGTATTTGTTTTCAATAGTCTGTGTGCAAAGTAATTTTCATGTTAAAATTAAAAATACTTTTCTTCATCTCAAAAATCTCAAAATTTCCTTTGTGTAATCCCTAAGACCTCCTAAATGCATTTCAAACATATTTTTTCAGCAAAACTTTATAGTCTCTCTGTTATTTTCTCTACCCTATCTCAAAATGGGATCAGTCATTTCCACCAACCCTGTAACCACCAAAAAAAAATCGAAATAAACCTAAATTAACCTTTTTTTTCTTTCTAGAATGACTTTAAATTATAGCATGAAACTACATTCATTTATCCTAAGTAGCTCTAAGTTTGTAACAGTATACATCTATTTATAATTAAATTTTATTGTTTTATTGCCCTTTGAACCATGTCTAACTACTATTCATGCCATTATAAGTTGTAAATCACTTCGGGGAATGTGCAGCTCATGTTACGCTATCGAATTATGAATTACGAGTTGCTCCCATGCATGCCTCATGAACTACTTTAATCATATTATTACTTATTTTACCTAATCTAGTCTTAAATAACCTAAAAAGATCCATATTTTTATATTTTAGTTACTTTTATAATAATAAAGAAAGAATAAATATGAAAAACAAGAAATAAAGTACTTACCCAATCTTTTCTTGCTGTCGGGTTTTGAAGAAAGTTAAGCCTAATTTTTACAGTAATGATAGTAAAGCATTTATTAATTTTTATTTATTTAAATAATGCACCAAAAATATAGACTAATAACATGCATTTCCTGGCTTTCTAACTATGCAACAAAAGCCATTACAAATTCATCCGAGCTAGTCGTTAACTTTCCCACAGGAACGAATCTTGTATTCTGAGTGAAATTGACAATATTCTGTTCAGAACACAACATTATATAACACATTATTTGATAGATGAAAACCTTGACTTTCATTATATATTACCTATAACCAATAGACATCCTCTCTTTCACAATTCGTTGATAACTCTCTCTTAAGTTTAGCAGGAGGGGTCTGATTTTTTATTTGATAGCTCTGTAACCAATCAGAATTGAAGACTATAGAAATTATGGTTTGTCTGAGCAGTAACGATTTTATGGAGAGTACTTTACATTTAATTTCATACATTTTTGAGGGGTTATGGATAAAATAGGGATAATGACATGCTAAGAC